AGTCAACTACCTGATAATGCATCATTATTATTGGCATATGTTCGTTTTATTATGAATCAAGAAATCTAAGAAGAACTGCTCTTCGCAAGAACTTTGATAACCGACACTAAAGGTGAATCAATGTTTCATGTTTTGAAGAATTACTTCATTGAAAAAGCAATTCCTTTATCAAATATAATATCAGTAGCTACAGATGGAGCACCTGCCATGGTTGGACGTTAACGTGGATTTATAAGCTATTTAAAACAAAATGTTTCAGGGGTGTTAGCAATACATTGCGTCATCCATCGACAACATTTAGTTGCTAAAAATTTGAGTGTTAGATTGCATGAATCACTTCATTTAGTCATTGATGCAGTGAACCGAATCCGAAGCAACGCGTTGAATACGCGGTTATTTGCGCAGTTGTGTGAAGAAAATGACGAACACTTTCATCAATTACTCCTTCACACTGAAGTACGCTGGCTGTCGAAAGGCTTATGTTTGACAAGATTTTTTGCACTTTTTCAGACTATTTTAGAATTTCTGGATACTAAAGATAAAATTTTAAAGGAAAATTTAATGAAGAGGAAAACAGACATCGCCTATTTAACAGATTTGTTTACAAAATTTAATATAGTTAATTTGCAACTACAAGGCGACAGTTTAAATTTGATTAAAACAAAGTCCATCTTATCAGCGTTTCTTGCCAGAGTTAAACTAATGAAGCAAAATATTGGACGGGGCGAATTTTCTCAGTTCCCCAATTTGGTCACATACAAGCTGCCAGGAAGACGACGTTTCAACTTACGTTCAACATTTAAATAATGCCCTCAATACAGATTTTGAATCTAAGTTTGAGGATATTTTGACTATGGTAATACCACCGTGGATAATTAATCCATATGGTGACATAGAAGAAACGAATGTCATAATACAAGAGGAACTGACTGAACTAAGTACAAAACGAAGAACTTAAGGTTCAGTTTAAAAACGGATTTCAGCAATTCTGGCTGCAAAACAACATACCCGTTACTTATGCCGTATTATGGAATATAGCGAGGAAATTTTTAATTTCCTTTCCATCGTCATACCTAGTGGAAAGGGGGTTCAGCCCTGTTACCAATCTCCTAACGAAAAAAAGAAACAGACTGGATATCATTAGCCGATGAGATTTAAGATTAACCCTTACAAAATTGACGCCAAATGTCGATAACTTATTATTAAAGCATCAGGTTCATCCTTCTCACTAAAAATATTGACTTATTGCTTATGTTATTTTATTTATAGTTTATTTTATGTTTATTGGTGTCTGACCATTAAATGCCCGCATTGGGAATAAGTGCTCGCATTGATTTTTTTAAAGAACCCCCTTTATAGAAAATATTTTTTTTAAATTATTCTGAAAATTCAAGGATAGGTACACACTAAAATTTGTTAATTTTTCGCCTATTTTTAGATAACTTAAACGTATAAGAAGCGGAATTTAATCAAACTAACAGTGAAATTATTGTAGAACATACGTTCATGTTATAATTAATAAACGAACTCGCTTATTGTACTATTTTAAGTAAAAAACTTTTTTTTTTATTATTTTTCCCTTTTTTTTATTTTATCCCTCTTATTTTTTTTCTATGCGGGCACTTATTTCCAATGCGGGCACTTATTGGTCAGACAACTGTTTATTTAATGTTACGTATATTTTATATAACAGATACAAAATTTTATTTTGAGTAGTTTTAATTTAAATTCAATAAATAAATGTATAAATTAACATGTGTTTTTACTTTAAGTTTTTAACACTAAACTTCACTACAGTTAAAAATTTACAGAAAATCAATATCAGGTACGTAGGGGGTCTACCCAACACGAAAAAACATGGCAAGGGGTCTACGACACAAAAAAGTTTGGGGAACTCTGACCTAGATCAACTTTGAAGAACGATTGAACACAACAGTTTGTAAAGCAAGCGGTGCGCGACGGAGACACGACTGTTTACCGCTGCGTATAGATTATTCATATGATAGTATTGTGCGTACGTATGGAGAAGCGACTGTTTACCTCTAACAAAAAATCACTAGCTGCTAATTCTATTTCATATATTTCATGATTATCGTGGTTAGGCGCTACGATCATTTACTCCACGTAAAGATTAACCAGGGATACTACTTATACGCAGATATTCACAAAAACTGCAAAAATGGAGTTACGATCGTTTACCTATAAGACACAAATATATTTTTTTATACCGAAGCAGCCGCGCAGGCAGAAGCCTAAACTCCGGGACACCGCGACTATGAGCATCCCAAAGAAATTTTGTTCATCCGATCTTTGTACTGCCTAAGGTTATTTATTTATTTATTTCCAACAGGTGAAACCTAATTACAGGAAACGCTGAAAAAAAAAATAACAATTAAAGAGACATGGTTCTTGGACTTAAATCTATAGTATCACACGTTCTAAATAAGATTGGCTGATCTATAGCAGTTAATAATCGATGCACAACTGTCACTGTAAATATCACACGATTCAGTAACACTGTTCATGACGCAGCACATGAGATTAATTGGCGAATTTGTCATAACATTTGTACGGTCAGTTTGACAATAGAATGCCGTTTGTTGTCGACTCCCTAGCCTTGAAACACGGAAATATATTTTTTCAAGTAAATTTTGACAGTCAATTTTATCGTGAATGAGGCCATACAAAAACGACAAAGCAAATATGTTTCGTCTTGCTGACAGTGAATGCAAATTGAACAACTCTAATAGGGCACTATGGTCACAACCTCTTTCTGGATAAGAACCTGTGCATTTAACGTGAAAATACTTCAAAGCTTTACGTTGAATGGCCTCAAGGATCACGACAGAATTTTGGTATATAGGAGACCAGATCAGAGTCGCATACTCCAACTTGCTCCTGACAAAAGTAAAAAATAAAGTCATTAATGTATCAACATTGGAGAAACCCTTCCAGTTTCTGATACAGAAACCAAGTAGTCGAGTGGCAGCCGACGAGATATTGAGTATATGCTCAATAAACGTTAGCTTGGTATCAAAAATGACTCCAAGGTCTCTATAATAGGTGCATCTGTCTATAACCTGACCATTGATTATATAATTATCATAAATTAAATAGTTAACTTTTCTTGTATAAGTCATAACTTTACATTTCGAAACATTCAGACTGAGACAGTTTCGTGAACACTGCCTTCTTAATCACCCCTTAAAGTTAAGAACCTAAATACCTACCCAGGGCTCGATTTGAGGAGAACGATCAATATCCAGTATTATTAGAACATCTCTAGTTTCTATTTTGCCTAAAAATCTCATTTTTGATCCTTAGATAAAGGCTCTTAGCTATTTCCATAACATACTTTTAAACGTTTTGGATGCTTATCAACATAATTGATCCTATCTGCTGTAACGTCAAGGCTTGATTTTAACTAAATTTTAATTTTTCTAACAGCAAAATTTGTAGTTGTAGAGACGTTGTGACTGACGATACCTCAGATTGAAAATAGTATAGTCTTGAAAGCTTTTATGGAGCTTTAACTATTTGAGGCTCCTTTCTATTTATCGTCGCCAGTAAGTTTCTTAATAAAATACACATATTCAGGCTGTTTCAATTCGACCATCACCGTTGAAATCTTGGAAACTCTGAAAGATACGTAGTCGCTCAAATGGGGGCATCTCAAATAGAGTCAGGAAAAAATAAAAGTATCTAATTTTGAGAGAAATCTAGTTGGCAAAACAATTGATTGTCTGATAATTTCAAGGCCTACCTATGAAATTCTGCTTTTTTTAAATAACTACGGTTTAGAAAAATCAATGTATGTCGTATCATATAAGAATCATTTCTACAAAAGTAAGAAAAAATAAAGTTGATGCTGGAGGACCAAAGATGAAACGTCATATTGAAATTCTAATTATGCCCTCTTATAGAGGAGAAAAAGTAGCAATGTTAGTGTGGAATTTATTTTGAAATCCCTCCACAAATCAGGACGGGAAAAAATTAAAATTAGGAAAATTCGGTTTTTTCCGTCTCTCTCCGGAAATACTTTGAATTTCGGAACTTTCTAAGCTAACCTAATTGACCCATTTAAGCGACTTTGTATCTCCTAGAGTTTCCGAGATCCCAATGACAAATTTGAAACACCCTGTATGAGCATCTGCTATACAGGGTGACTTTGAAGTTGAGTCATTAATTTTCAGATAATGCTTGTAGAAGGAAGATAAACCAAAATATGTGTGTAAAAATAAAAAAAAATTAAACAAATTTGTTTACCTTGTTTTATAAAGTATCCTCCCGACAAGTATTTCAGTGCGGACCTGTATTTGATCGTGAGGTCTTATAGCACCGGCGTGCTCTCCCCTGTGAGGTCTTAAGTCACCTGATTCGCGAGCCCATTGTACTACATTAACAAAGGCACGAGGGGTTGGTTGCACTCGATTGGGAAACCGATCCCCATAAATATGTGCCATTTTTTATTTCGTTTGAGCCACGCAGCAAACACCACTATTCACTCACACGCGTTACCGACTGACACAGACTGAATAAAAACATCGTAATCAGCGTTTCAAATTCTTTCGCTTTTTTGTTTCCGATGCGATGAACCGATAAGGCGGAGTATATCCGTTGTCGCCAAACACGAGCGCATAATATTATTATTGAGACAGGGCGGTACTCAAACTTCTAAAGGGCTATAACTTTGTTACTTTAATTTTACCACAAAAATGTTAAAGGAAAAAACATTTCTTTTGATCAGATCTACTCACTGTTAAAATAAATGACTCAACTTCGAAGTCACCCTGTATGTATAACATCAGCGTCCATTCATTTGCGAAGTTGCATGTTATGTGATAACTATCTCGATTATAAATATTGAAAATATTTTGGTTGGTACCTACAAAATACATCAAACATTTAATCATCTATGGTCAAGATCACAAAGTCAGTCTAAATAAATAAGTGCTTCAACCAATGCCATGATTATTGTGATTAAATTGATGTGTGTTTTCAAGAGTGAAGAAGTTGCTGATCGATTGTACAGCTATCCCTGGTATCTAGGAGGTAAAGAAGATCAGAATATTATTTTATTCATGATTAAAAGGACACAGAAGCCGATGAAATTGTCTGCAACGCCTTTCGGAAATTATGACTATAGCTTTTTTGTTTTGGTAAGTTGGAATAATTGAGGTAGCTGGAGAAGGTTTTTTATGTAAAATACAAAGATTCTCTGAAGGGTTAGTGGAAATTTAAGTTCATTGTCACTTATTTCTGTGAGATGATTGTGCTAACGATTGGAAAATTGTACGTTATAATATAAATTAAAATTGTATACACAATTTATTATAAATAACGAATATGAATATGTAATAATTTTTTTTATTATTTCAAGTAACTAAATTGTTCGGATTAATAAAGCGGCAAAACTCCTCAGAAGTGACCGTTTCACCTTTGTTACTCTTATTTGAAAACTTGTACAGTATACCTATATTCCTTCAAATTCACGAAATACATTTTTTGAGAATATATAATGTTCTGTAAGCTTTTGTTTTTACGTAATTCTGTTTCAGGTGATAAAAACGGCATACTCATACCTTACTTTGCTGAGGAATCACACGTAAAATTGAAAAATGATGTCGATTGCTCCACATGTTACTTAATAATAAGTATACAGCTTATATGGATTAGAAGAATTATATGCATAAGTATACTTGTTTCACAATGTTTATTAAAGACTACACTACTGTCGTAAAACGCTTCCTTATTAGCAACAAAAGCAAAAACAGGACAATTATTGTATAAGTTTTTTTCGGATGCAAAGCTGGTTTCTTGGTTTGAATACTTGGTATCTTCAGATGTTTGGAAGGCGATATACAAGGTGTTCAGCAAGTCGATGTCAACCTTTTAAAGGCTGATAGTACACCCCATTAGAAACAGATTCAGCGAAATATACAAAGTCTGCCCATTTCCGTGTTGCACGCAATTTTGTGAAATCCTAGAAAAAGGCCTAAATCATGCGATAAGCCATCACTTTCCAAATAGCATAACTATACCTTAAAGACGTTTTAAAAACGTCATTTTGAGATATTAGAGAGGTCGCAAAGACGTCTTGTGAACGCTGTACGACATCTTAAAGACGTTGTAAAGCCATTTGTTACAAAAACTGTGCGTCTTAAAGACGTCTTTATAATTATTAATATTCGTAAGGTCTTTAGTGCAGCAATAACAAGACATAAGAAACAGACGAATTATTAAAAAGTGTTTTTATTAAAAAAAATTCTGGGTGGCTGACTGGCCATCTGAAAATCATTGAAAAACATAGCTAAACTGTATCCATCGAAGAAACAAAGTAAAATCAAACATATACACCAGTATTGCACGTGATCAAGAACTTAACCGTAGGAGACGCTACAGGGCCGTATCAAGCTATTGTGACTGATCTATCAAAATATGTCGTACAAGATATGTGTTGCTGTAAATTCTATCAAAAGCATAGTAAATTATCAGGAATATACCACGCCTTTCTAATCATATTTCGACATTAGGAATCAGTGCAAAAAATTCTGTATTAACCATTTCAGCAAAATGTTACTAACGCACACGAAAAAAACTTGTGGACCATCTCAATTGAAATTGTTCATATTTTATTATTAACTTACATATATACCCAATAATATTTACAAATCAACCTTCTATTCACAATGCAGAGCAAATTTTTTTGAGCAAATAGAAACTACAGACGTAGTAGTAGTAGTACAAAAGTTTATTACAGACTCCATAAAGTTTGTTAGTTTGATTGCTATTAAAATTTACATGAGAAATAGGAAGAAGGTCAAAATGGCACTATTATGCTTTGGAACTCCTAAATTAACCCTAATTTTGTGTAATTATAAATTTGGAATTTCCACATTAATAACTAGAAACTTACACTTTGATTGCAGTCTATAATGAACTTACCTGTCTTGCCAAAAAGCCCGTTAAACTGCCAGTCTTAATGGTATCAATCGATTTATATGCTGTATTCCGAGGAGCTTGAATCATCAGAATTGTTGATGTCAATTATAAGGGGTTCAACTTGGGTGTCAATGATATTGTCCATATCCCACATTTTGGTTTCAACCTTCTCTTGGACATGGTCAATACATGTTCTCCATTTTGCTGGCGTAATTCTATCGTCAGCAACATCAAACAGTTTTTTAAGGTCAGAAAACTTAAAAGTGCTGTTATTTGACGCCACGTATTGCTTGATGTCGGCCCAAATCAACTCGATAGGATTCAGTTCGCCGTGATAGGGAGGCAGCCTGAGAATCGTTTTATTTTGGTTTTTGGCCATTTCGTCAACAATTTTTAAATCATATTTATACTTATGTCGCTTGACTATATTTATCAGCTCAGCTTTGACCATTGTTTGGTCGAAGTCGATCTTCTTTGAGACAAGCCACTGTTGAATGTCTGCCTTTTTGGTGGCCATTGTTGGAATTTTTTCCAATTTTCTGGAGTGGTACGGGGCATTATCCATCACAATAATTGCGTTATCATCAAGTGTCGGCAAAATTGTTTTGAACCAATTTTCAAATGAGTTACCATTCATTTCTTCGTGATAGTCTCCAGTTTTTTTGGATTCAAATGCCCACAATGCTTCAGGAACAAATCCATCTACGCTACCTATGTGGCAAATGATCAGGCGTTTTCCCTTGCCTGAAAGTAATTAGTTATTTTACTTCTCTGCGAGCTCACTAAATGACGAAATTAAGCAACTTACTCTTTTTAGGTTAGTGTAGGATAGGGTCTTAGATTAGTTTTTGGGTGAAGGAAATACTCAGAAACTTGGATGAGATAGCAAAACTGAGTTCGGAGCTTCCAAATCATTGATTCGATCAGAAAATGAATTATCTGCATCCAAAAAAGTTCATATACTTCGAAACTTACCTGCAGGATTTTTCAATCCCGTCGAAATGCCATCTAAAAAAGCCTGCCTTGAGGACCTCATAGATCTGTCTACTCAAACCTTTCCCTGCGTATGCCCCGCGTTCACCCATGTTTCGTCTAAATAATACATTTTTCTTCCTTCAGCGCGGAATTGCCTAATTTTTCTAAGGTATTCTCTCCTCCAGATAACAATTTCCTCCTTTTCTATCAATAAACTATTCCTTCCTCTTTTCAAAAATCGAAAGTCTAGTTCTTTCAACAGCTTATGGAACGTAGATCTTTTAAAATTTGGCAGGTCCTCATCATCATTCACTTGCTTCAATATTTTATCTATTGTAGGTATTTCATTCCTGAAGAAAAAGTGATGTACTTTTCTTCTAATGGCACTTTTGTCAAAGTCATCTATTTTTTCGATGATTTTTTTTCTCGCTGGATATGTTTTTGGAACAGATAGTGAGTGATTTTGTCTATATTCCTTCAAGATTTTGTAAACACTTGATCGACCTACTCCAGAAATTTCAGCAACCTTACATACGATATTTTCTATAGCCAATCCACTATTCTCTTGCATCTGGTTCTTGTAGATATTTAGAATAATTTGTTTTTCACCTGCGCTAAGATGAAGCTTTTTAGCCCTTTTGCTGGGTGGCGTTAAGCTGATTTCAACCACTTCATCAGCTGTATCTGTGTCAGACATTTTAGACTAATATTAAATTTCCGCAAGAAAAATCAAGTCAAGACGTGCATAAAACGTTCGCGCTCATAAACGGGTATCCGTAACTGATTACAATCCTGTGCGTGGTGACGAACCATCAACGTGACGCTGAGAGTTCCCTCTACTATGCAGCGTTGCCAGGCTTAATGTCACAATGATCATGTTTTATTGGGAAAATTGTCAGAAATCGCCGAATGTTGAACAGAAACATTACAAGAAGTCTAACCTTGAAATGTGAGGCTACAAATCGATATTCTCATAGGGGGGAAGGGTAGGGAGCTGTTATGGTTCCTATTAACCTTGGTGAAAGTTGGAAACGGTAATATCATATATGGCATACATTCGGTTGAAGGTGTGTGCACGGAAAATAGATTGCGGATAGGATTTTAGTAGATAAATCTGCACAAAAAAACACAAAAGGAGATTTTTGTATTTCCCTGAAGAATATCTCAAGGTTATTTCAGATGTACTCATCGAAACTTTATGGAAGGATTATCGAAACCTTATTTTCAATTGCGATAGGGCCACATACCTCGACATCGCATTAATGTGAAAAATAAGACAATAGAAAAAAATCCCCTCACTGATGCTATCTCTTAGGAAAAATTTAACTATAAAGATTGCACAAAAATGTTCTTCACCTTTTTGAGCTTGTTTTCGCATCTCTGTATATGCCGTTCATAATTTGCTGCAGATCAAATTGGAATATACCTTTGTGATGCCATTTATTGTTATATAATGTCCTTTACAACAGTTATTGCACGTATTGCACCAACAGATTGATTTGTGATCCATGCGAATGTGATCAACCACTCTGGCGAAAACTTGCCGAGCGTGGCAACCGTGCGACTTTGTCTGGAGGCTCGTCGCTTCAAGCCAATCAGGAAGAGGCCGACAGAGCGCCATGGCTACCCATCACGCGTTGATCACGAATCAACCACTGTTTACGATTACTTTGTAGCTTCGTTAGATACACTTTAGGCAAGAACATTGCCCGCGTGCGCCTTAAAAAACACATAACACCTACTTTATAAAAGAAATTTAAATGAGTGACTTTGAAGGTATGTTTGGTAGGCATCACAGAGTCGTGCTGATGCTGAATTTTCCCCTCGTTCTTCTTGACAGTTCAATGTTCAATGCTTTGACGTTGATGTATTCGTAATTTTGAATTGAAAGTTGATTTTGTGCGGCGCCGGCGCTTTTATTAGTTTTGTGTCGGTGGTACTGATATCTATTGAGCGTTAAACTGAACTTAAATTTACGAACTTAATCTTTGTAATAGAGGCTTATTGAAAGCGGGGACTTAAAAAGTGCGTGGTGCCAGTTGTACTGATACAATCAGTGAAAGGCTTAGATTTCCAAAATATGATTCCGCTCTTTTTAACAAATGGATCGAGCAAGTGCAAAATTCAGTTTTTGACAATAAAAGTCACGAACAAATTTATAAAAGACGTTTGGTGTGTGATTTACATTTTTCGGAAAGTGATAAAGTTCCTGGAACCAAGAGAAGTCTGGAAAGAACAGCTTCTCCTACATTACATCTTCCTGAACTTCAATCTTAAAGTAAGTAATAACTTTGATTACATACCATATATAAACCAAGTACATGGACTGTGTAATCAGTGAATAATCAGGATTAAATGATTCGAACATTTTGATGTCCTGAAAACTTTCACTGTATTTACGGTAATTGCACAATTTTTTTAAAAATTTACCCACCATAAATATAGTGAAATTCGATTCCTGTTTTAGGTATGGTTTCGGAAAATGTTCAGAGTAGTCTCGAAACTCATGTAGGGAGTAGAGAAATTGCTAATTGTGAATTTACATGGTATTACGTATCTTCTACATTTTGTAGCCTTTTTGTGACATTCCGTACCTTTTTCTACAAGATATCAGCTTAACCCTAGCTGTTGTACACTTTTTCAACTCGTTTTGTAGTTGTACGTGTTGCCGAAATGTCATGATGCTTCAGCTATCAATGTTTGGGTCTGATGCGTTGTAACATCTACTTCAGAGATGGCATAATTATAGTAGTAGTAGAAAGATTTATT